TCCCCTTTCGAGCTCGGTCTGTTGAAAAATACCTTGTTCCGATATTTCTTGGTAAAGACAAAGCAGGCAAGGTTAATAAAAAGTTTATTATGTGGAATAACGCATTTATTTGGAAAGATAAAAATGATCAGCTACTTCTCTACAAGACTGTACAATATCGCTCATCAGATATTGTCAAATATTTAGTGGAACAAGGTGCTGATGTAAATTGGAAAAATGACATAGCATTACTCAAATACTGGAAAAATCAAGTGCTTCCATATCCATATTTATACAAATTTTGAATTTGAAATAAAACTCTGTTTTTAGTAAAATCTGGTTCGCAATATGACTTGCCGTTGGACTCATTTCCCGAAAGACAGCAGCAACTTCATGAACAACGCTCAGATGCACAAAAAAAACTGCCAACAAAGAGAACAGGTAATTGCTGTAATCTTAATTTATTTAATTAATAATATTTTTTAGAATATTGTTGGAGACCATCAAGATCACGACCGTTTTGAAATTTATTTCTGCTTGTATCTTTTTGTACAAACCTCACTGATCTCTCGCTGACCACAGAAAGTTCGGTTATTTCATTGCTACAATAAATATTCGTAGCGATCACATGTTCGTGAACACTTATTTTGAATGATAAAACCATTCAATCTTTTCAGAATCTTCGAAACGAAGTGTGCCTATTTCAGGTAATATCCATAATACAAAAATACCTAATTTATCATGTGTTTGCACATGTCACACATCACGTATTTTTATTGGTAAAACTCTTCCATCATTCCAGATTCTTTGAAACTGGATTTTCCTTTTTCAGGTATTAATATTTTTTGAAAATGATCTCAACGAAAATGAATTGTCGCCTGTCGCTGTGACTTTGATCAAGTTATTTTGAACATTACAGGCACTTGTTAAGCATGCGCGTTTCTCGCTTTGCATCCTAACATCTGAAGATGGAGTTAATCTCCGAAACGTTGTAACAACAGTATCTTCATAAACTCATATGTAACAATATAAATGATTCAATGCAATATAGCCGCCATTATTATGTATAAAGGGATGCCACGTACAACATGACTCTGTAATTTATAGCAATGCTTTAAAAATGAATGGGCCAATGTTTTTAACAACTTTAGAACTAAATTGTTTCTTATGATACGTTTTTAATGCGCAATGTGAGAGACTGTCTTTAAAGAATTGTGTGTGGCAGTAATGATAGTAATCTTCCATCTTCTTTTCTCAGAAGACCTTCGAGAATATGACAGTTGTTTTGAAGATAAAATTTTTTTCAGAAGAAGCATACGTGGAAATCTCCAAAGGTATACAAAAATTCGGGTCTTCAACATATTGAAAGAGATACTGTACTAAATAATTATACAATCACAGAGATTGAAGAACTGATTTAAAAAAGCATCCACTAATAGTGACGAAGACACTAAAATGCATGTATTTGGACAAACATTTTCTTACGTTACTTTATCCCAACTGTTTTTACAGTTTGGAACATTTATCCGGACAAATTCGAATATAAATGTGTCGTGAATTTTAACAATTTTCAGGAAAAGGTTTAAAATTTTCATTTGTTTCCTCAAAGATTCCTATTATACACGTTCCATAGAGTCAAAGAGGATAAAACAGATGAAAAAAACAAAGAAGAAAAATGTGAGACAAAAAAGAGAATTGGTCTTTGGGATGTTTTCACAAATTCGACGAGGGTCAACTTGGAAAGTGTAAAAGATTTAGTCGAAAATGGAGCTGATGTAAACAGTACTAATAATTTCGGTAAAACTGTGCTCTTTGTTGCTGCAAGATCTGGTTTTGTAGAAGTCACAAAATATTTAATAGAACATGGTGCTGATGTTAATTGGAAAGATAATTTTGGCTCGACACCTCTTAGCCATGCTGTACAATCTTACTCATTGGAAATTGTCAAATATTTAGTGGAACATGGTGCTGACGTCGGTTGGAAAGACACAAACGACAGACCTCTTCTCTTCTATGCCGTACAGTACGACTCACCAGATATTTTCAAATATTTAGTGGAACAAGGTGGTGATGTTAATTGGACTGATCATAATGGAAAGCCACTTTCCTATTATGCTGTAAAATATCAGTCGTTAAATACTGTTAACTATTTAATAGAAGGAGGTATGGATGCGAATTGGAAAGATAGTGACGGGAAACCACTTCTCTACTATGCTGTCGAATACAATTCATTAGACATTGTCAAATATTTAGTGGAACATGGAGTTGATGTCAATTGGAAAGATGATAACGGTAGAACACTTTTGGACTATGCTGAAGAGTTTTTTTCATTCGAGATTGTCGAATATTTATTGAAACTTGGTGGTAAAGATAAAGGTAATTTAAACGGCCTTTAAACAATAAAAATATATCGTATATTTTTTTAATATATTTCGTTGCTCCTAAGGTGGACGTTATTACTACACCCCTGTGGCTGGTTGTTCAAAAGGTGGTTAACGCTAACCCAGGGTTAAAGATGCCTGACCCATGATTGATTTGTGCTGCTCATAGCCAGGTTATCGTTAACCCTGGGTTAAAATTAAAAAAATTAACCGTGCTAGCTAGGTGGTTTAACTTTTTATCCTGGGTTAACTTCGATTTAAGATGGATGAATAAGGAGAGTAAACACGTAAACACGTATAATTCCTCATGAATTAAACACTTTTGAATTGTTTTTCGAACATTTTTAGGCTCCCATGGCTTCTCAATTTTTAGGCTCCTACGGCTAAGCAGCGAAGAGTTTATTTCTTTGATATTTGAAAAGTTGGTGGCAGGGTTAAACACTTAAAGCATGATGGTTGGAAACACAATTTAGTGTTACAACTGTCGTCCAGTTGTAAATAAAGAAACGCTTAATTTTTTTTTACATTTTGAACAGTCATAGGGATATCGAGTACGAAATTAATCAAGAATGACGAATCTCGTGCTCGTAGACGTACTGGTAGTCACTACTAAAGCTGCTTAACAATTACTAGTGCAATGTTGATAAAATTCCTGAAAAGTTCTCGCCTTCAAAAATCGCGCAAATTTAGCCCCCCCCCCTTTCCCGATCGAAGCATGCCTTGTGCGCAGATACAATGCGCAAGCCCGAAAAATTATTTACGATGCGCAAAATAATTTATTCTTACTTATTATATTTCAGCTCTGATTGGTCCAAAAGGAGGCGTTATCCAGAAAGACGACGTCACACTTCAGTTGGAAGCTGGTTGCTTGACCGAGGACACAGAAATTACTATAGCTACAAAACCTGAAAAAGATTTCGTCCCTAAATCAGTAATAGACTTGGGTGTCGTCGATGCTTTCTTAAGTGCTGCTGAATTTTTTCCACATCGCCTAAAATTCCTAAAACCAGCAGTTCTTACCATTCCATTCGAAAAGCCTGACTCCGATGCACAACTTTTCATCCTTCATGGCTCTTACAATGATATTTACGAAAAGATCGTGTGGGAAGTGGTGACTAATGGTATCGACAATGACGTGGACAATGACGGAGTGGTAAATTTAAAAATTGCCGGTTTCTCTTGGTATAATGCCATTTTGGCGTTGCCGGCAAAGTTAGCTCGAGTCGTTTCCCATTACAACTGCTCCTTTGTTTGCCGTGCCTACGCATTGTACCGCAGACAACCTTCACTCAGAACTATTGACATTGCCGTTGTTCTGATTAGCGAGTTTGTTGATGACAATAACGAAAAAGATATCGAACAGTTGAAGGATCATTTTGTTCGAGGTTACCACATCGGAGAAAAAGGAGAGTTGAAACGTGTCCACACTGATCGTCATTTTCAAATATGTTTATATTTTCCAGGAGTTGAAGGCAGTTCTATCTCTTTCAAGATAGATCAGACTCAACTGGATTCTGATGGTTATGCGATTGATGATTTTGAAGGAATTACAATAGATAATCCAGCAAATGGAAGGATTGAGATCAGCGATGTAATCGAAACTACCTTGCTGTGGAGATTAACTTTAAGTAGAAATTGGCAAAAGACCATTGGTAATGGTAACTTTTAATTATTCTGAATATATTATTGCAAAAATACCACCCTTGAAAAACATGAGGGTAATATTATATGTCAAACGAGGGCCCCTAAGGTCGTCGGGACCACGAGGTTTCTCGGGCTTTGCCAACGCCGTGCAAGGGGAGAAGTCCCACGCCATTATTTTACCTTTTATTCTTTAATTTTTTGCAATGTCATGCTTGCGACAAGCGCTGAGTCTTTTAGTTTAAAAGTTTTTACTATTGAAAATACATTCTCCTGTGGACCTCAAAGTCTTTTCCTAGTAATACTATTAAACTAAGATTAGTAAGACTGAAGATTCCATTAAAAACTGCTTTCCGCGCTTTCGAAGATTACTGAAGTACGGTACTGTCCAGAAATAACCTAATACTGCGGTTCGGTTTGGTCGCGGTTCAGTTGCGGTCGACCGATAGAAACCGCAGATGACCGCAAATGTTTCCAAATGGAATATTAGTAACTGCTCAGAACGACAATTTACACAATAATTATATCGAAATCTTCTTAAAAAATGTCAGGGTAAGTCAGTCCGAGTTTCGACCGAGGTTCCACCGAGGTCTCATCGCGGTTCGACATCGGTCTGACCTCGGTTCAAATTCAACTGGGCAGTACTGTATTTACTGATCTTCGTTACAAGTGCAGATTTATGTCGATTCGTATTATCTCCGTGACATGTTATTATTTCTTTATTCCACATTTTCTTTCAAAATTTTAGCACAAGCCTCAACCACGGAACAATTACCAGAAGGTATGCGTAACATTGTTTTTAAATTGAAATGTCCGGATTAAACTTTTAAACTTTTTCTATGCAACTTTTCCTTGCCTAGCCTTTGCCGACTAATTGTTAAATGACCGATGTGGCTCGACCAATCATGAACCAGAATTTTCGATACTCACATTTGTAATTATTCCGCATTCATACGAATATTTCTTCCTTGCATTTCCAGTTGTATGTCATGCCACTAAGCTCACACATAAAGAAATAAGTCGAATAAGCAGAGAGGTTGGGCTTGACTGGGACGGTCTGGCAGGACTCATGGATATTCCGTACTATGAAAGCGAAGAGATTAGATTCAACTGCACGAAATTTTCTTCAAGAGGTGAACAAGTTCTCCTACTTTTCAATGAAAGCCACTCGTTTGATCGGCGTATTTTCAAAAGGTGTTTGGATGAATTGGGACGAAAAGATTTGAAAGACATGCTGCTTCCGATGGAGAATGAGGTAAACGTTTTCTAGCGCTATAATTGTATTCATGCTATGCATACATATCTAAAGTGCTTTCATTCTCGCTGAAGATAATTATGAGTCTAAGATTTTTTATATAGCTTTACCTTGATGATTGTTATATACTATGGCCTGAAATGTATAAGAAAAATTCTTGTCGAAGTAACAATGAACGAAAATTAGTATACCACAACTCAATTCTCGAAAATGTTACTGAATAGTTTCTTTTCTGTTCAACCTTTTTTTCTGGTAGTATCACTTAATAAAACACGCATCGAAATTTGATTCATAATTAAATATTTGCCGAAAGTAGCTGGGTTCTTCATCAAGGGCCGATTGTATCAAGCCCATTTAGCTTTAACGGTGGATAAGTTCAAAATAGAAAGCAAGACTATCGTTTTATTCAACAAGCGAACTATAAATGTCTTTGACCTTAATACAAAGATACTGTTTACAACTATACATACTCAGTGCATAATATTCAAGTTAACTCATTCAAGAGAGATGATAAGAATGTTATTTAATTTTGACTTATCCACGTTTAAGTAAACGGGCTTGATACAACCGGACCCTGTGTTGCATTGTCGCAGGTTTTTTAACTACAAGCCATTGCCTGAAGATGCATTTTCCCAACTACATCTATTTGTTTAAATATATTCGATGCGTAACCAGGGTTAATCATATTGAGAAATATATAGACGTTCTCTGGTTAAAATATTTATTATTTCACGAGCTTTCGACTGTCAGTCTGCAGTCTTCAGCGGGTGGAGAAAGTGGAAGTGTTGCAAGATACAGGGTTTACGCAGATATATAGAGATTTAAATAGAGATATAAGGATTTGAATAGAGATATGGATTTTAAATAGAGGTATTGAGATTTGAATAAAGATATAGAGGTTCAAATAGAGTTATATAGAGATTTAAATAGAGATACAAAGATTTAAATAGAGATAAAAAGATTTGAATAGAGATATAAAGATTTAAATAGAGATATGGAGTTTCAATAGAGGTATAAAGATTTGAATAGAGATATAGAGGTTCAAATAGAGTTATATAGTTATTTAAATAGAGATATAGAGATTCAAAAAAAGGTATAGAGATTTGAATAAAGATATAGAGATTCGAATAGAGATATAGAGATTTAAGCAAAGGTACAATATATAGAGATTTAAATGGAGATATAGAAATTTAAATGGGGCTATAGAGATTTGAATAGAGATATAGAGATTTAAATGAAGATATAGAGATTTGAATAGAGGTATAGAGATTTAAATGGAGCTATAGAGATTTGAATAGAGATATAGAGATTTAAATGGAGCTATAGAGATTTGAATAGAGATATAGAGATTTAAATGGAGCTATAGAGATTTGAATAGAGATATAGAGATTTAAATGAAGATATAGAGATTTGAATAGAGATATAGAGATTTAAATAGAGATATAGATGTTTGAATCATATGAAATTTTTAAAAGGCTGTCAATCTGTTATCGTAAAGTGATCTATATTTTATATAGAACAATGGTATTGAATGATATGAAATGAAGTGGTATCGTACGACACTTCATATATGAAAAAATAAATGTGTGTTCTGATTATGATTAGTTATCATATTTTCTCATCACAGGATGGAACTGAAACTACATTATCAACACAGACGCAAGGTTTTCTGGAAGAACAATTGGTAACAACACCTCTTTCACCTCGAGAATTGTACAGACTGAGCCGGCGTGTTGTGGACTGGAACTGTCTTGCTGGTCTATTAAACATTCCAGCTGCCGAGAGGAGCAACATTCGATCTTGTGACAGATATTATGATGACCGCAGTCGAGCTGAGAAGATATTATCAATTTTCAACCGTAGAGAAGAGTTTTCACGGGAGCAGCTAGCTCGCTGCTTGGATGAAATCAAGCAGAATGATTTGATAGGACCAATTTTAAACGGAGATTGGAGGACCTTGGTCATTCCATGATCTTCTGGTTGAGTTATTAACAGTAAAACACACACAACTTTGAGCCCAGACTAAGGGTTTTTTTTAAAAAGGAATTTTGCGCGTTTCAGATAAATATCCCTGGCTTTTTGGTACATGGAAAAGCGACTATCGACCCTAATACAGAAATATAAATCCACTCGTGTTTTCATCTACCAAGACTGGCTGATAAAACTGCTAAGATGTTAAAAAACTATAATTTCTCTACCCAGATATAGTTGCAATTGATGAACCAGGCGGGAATCGTAATATGAATATAAAGAATATAATACCCATCAAAAAATACGAAGAACAGCCATAATACAAATTTTTTCAATACAATTTAATATAAGTTGACGTTTGGTCTTACATATGACATAATTATAGGATATGGGTAATTATAACTATTAACAAAAACAAATTTACAAGTGTGAGAGTGGACTGGATCAGAGTAGAAGCTGAGGAACAGAACCTGTATAATTATTTAGACAAGGTTTATACCTGGAGATGAGAATTAAGGCTTTTGCGAACAAGAAGTTGGTTTGGGGAAAGGGCATGAAGGTAGAATTTTGAACTCGTCTAGCGAAGCAGTATGACCAGTACTGTTGAGGTAGGAAAATACGCTGGATTGCACAGAAATAAACCGCACCGCCATTGACACTGAACACTTGGATATTTCTGCCCTCACAGGTCGAAAAAGCGGTAGCCCTGTATTTATTGCTGGCCTATTATATTTTTCTACGATTCTCACCTCAAGTCTCACTTTGGCGTTTTTGTTTTGGCGTTTGTCTTTTTGTCGTGTTAATCTTCTATGGCAATTTGATTTACACCGAGAGGTTGCAGTTGACAAAGTCGTATCCATGCATATAAGTCGCATCATTTTCAAGCTTTCGTAGTAAAATTTGTTCAAAATTCAAATTTACAATTTTAAAAACCCTTCAAAAGGCGATCGTGTGATAGCTTTCATAGCATTTTATGTCTATGTCACTTACGACCAAGTAACATCATTTATATGGCACGCGGTCTCGTGACTAAAACGGCGTGAGCTGATTGGTTCTTTGCCGGTCTGGAATCCCCCAGTATTAGACCGTTGCCGTGGTAACGATCCAACTCTCATATTTTTGAACAAAAACAAGCCTGCACTTTTATTTTTGACACGAAACATATCGACGGAGACTGGACGAAAAAGAGCATTATTTGGTAGATGTGAATGTTATATTTATTCATCTTTGATTGTTGTTTATATTACTGTATCATTCTTATTCAACGAGTAAAAAACAAAGTTTTAGAATTAAACCACTTCAGTGCTTGCTTGGCGACTGGCTGGCGAAAGAGCCGGCAAGAATGCTGCAGCGCATTGTATGAATAAATAAACTAAATACCGTATGCCATATAATAAATCTCTTATTAACCGAATACGTTCGGTCCGTACTGGAAAAATATCAGACCTCGGTCTTTTATGTACGGACCTCGCTATCGCTCGGACCGTACTGTCAAGACCTCGGTCCGATATTTTTCTAGTACAGACCTCAAATTCGGTTAATAAGTGGTATATATACACAAATAAACTACATCCTTACAGCAAATATACGGAATAAAAAATAGACACAGTCACGTCTACACATCTACCTCCTTAAGATATTTTGAAGCTTTTATAATTATTATGAATCCTTGCTCTTGCTTCGCGTAGTCGTTAGCTGTAGCTCTGTTTTAAAGAACAGTGCGCATGCTCAGAGTATTACTGTACTTGCTCTAAAGATTGCGCATGCTCATACTATACTTTACACGCAGATATTTGCCAGGAAATTAACCAACAAAAATTGAGAAAACCATAGAATAGATTATTATATTTTATGTATTACTTATTAAATGTTGTTGTTATTTTCATAGTTTGACGACCCACCGTCGACTAACTATCTGGAATTATGAAGAAACAGATTTCCGAATGAAACCCCGGATTTTACTGATCAAAATTCAACATATCTCTTGAATTTAATTAAATAATTCAAAAAATACTTTTGCTTGTTATAATGTGTGCAAAACTTGTCGTTTTTAGACTAGAAAACATAACGAGGCATTATAATTTAGTTTTTATTTTAAATATATTCAGGAAGGGAGGGGGTAAGGTGAGGGAGCATATATTCTATGCACAAGTAATTCACATTCCTGCATAATGTTCGCTCTCGTGCCACGGTTAAAGTTAACTTGTTAGACACAAGCTTGTGTTGCTCATAATTATGGCTTCTCAAATGAATCGAGAATGTATGAATACTTGATTTTAACTATCTTCGCCCTTCTCTGTCCGGTAGGTGATTTTGATTGACAACAAAGACTAATTACCAAAGCAATTTTAATTTGGGCGTTAATTACTTTGCTGACTTGATTTTACATGGCGTTATCGACAATTTCGTTTATAATAATACCAAAATTATCTGCTTGGTAAAAAATTGTGATTTATTCACAATGATGCTAAGAAAATGGGGTGTATGAGTATGAAGTGCATGGTTTTAGATGAAGAAGTAGAAAAACCGATCACCATTCGTTGCATTAATTGTGACTTTCTACTAGAAATCAAAATATCATTATGAACGAAGTTATCTCTCAAATTAGTTCATTCACTCAAATATAGACCGGGGTTTTTATCCACCCATTTAATCAAAGTAAACAGGATCGATTACATCTAATAACTGCTTAATTAGACCATTACATTTTTATCTTCCAGGATATGAATAGCTAAAAAGAAAAAAGGTGAGCGTTAAAATAATGTTGGAAGATTTTATTAGTGATAACTTACAACTGAAAGTTTTTGTTCTCAATCGGAACTTTAAGCAAGGCTCATATCATAGCAACAGCATTGTATCATAGCGACAGCAATGTATCATAGCAACAGCATTGTATCATAGCAACAGCATTGTATCATAGCAACAGCATTGTATCATAGCAACAGCATTGTATCATAGCAACAGCATTGTATCATAGCAACAGCATTGTATCATAGCAACAGCATTGTATCATAGCAACAGCATTGTATCGCAGCAACAGCATTATATCTTAGCAACAGCATTGTATCATAGCAACAGCATTGTATCATAGCAACGGCTTTGTATCCCAGCAACAACGAAAGGAAAATAATGGCGATCAAGAATCACTTCAGTTACGTAATTATGTACGTCATCGCGTTAATTAAGGGACATGAAGTTCATGAAGAGAGTAATATATTTATAAAACCTAGAAATATCAGATCCTAATTCGAATTCTCTCAATTGTAAGTTCCTAAATCAAAAACCCGTTGCATAAATTCAACTAGATCACAATTAACCCCTATACACAAGGCGTAATTAGGACTCTTAAGTACCGCAAATATTTTATTGTAGCAAATGAAATTGAAATATCTATTTCTGCTACTTCGACTATGACCAGGGAACAAAACTTGGAAGATATGAAAAAATATTTCTACAAACAATATTCACACGCAAACCTTTTTTCTTTCAGCCCTAAATGGGAAAAGTAAAATTGATTGGTGATTCTTTCATCGGGTCTAAGAAGTTAAAGGATGTTGCTGATCCATATTATTATATTTTATACTGAAAATATAGATAACTATAGATATGTGGGTGAATTAATAAAATAATTTTTTTCAGCATCTATATCGCCATGCACACTGATTGTTGATTTAAAAAAGAAAATCACACAAATTCAAAAGAGACTAACTGATTTGTACTGAGACTAACTGGGAGTAACTGATTTGATCCACTACGTAAAGTGTAAATAAATAGTCGGACGTTACAACAAACTCTCCATTCGTATCATCCATGTCGTTCTATACAAGTTTCTCGCACCAAGATAGCCGCCGTTAGCTTAAATTGTATATATATGCTCACCTGATGTGTGATCCAGTTTTAGTTTTTAGATCAGTGTTTAGAATGCAGTGGATCAATGATTCAGTTAAAAGCTTTTTTTTTTATAGCAGGGGGTGAATAACTTTGAAAACGTTTGTTTGCTTCGTGCTGGTTATATAACTCTCATTGCATTTATTATGATCAGAAAGGAGTGATTTTCTTTGACGTTTAAGAAGCATTTTACCCTTGGCAAGTGGTAAGCGTTTTTTGTTTGAATTTCGATCACACAAATACATCACTAAACGATAATAAATACGGCTAGAAAATGCCGAAGTCTGAATTACAAAGATGATCCGCTAAGGCGAAACGCAATATGAAATTTTGCTTAGTTCAGTATTTCTCGATATGTTTCAATAGAAAACAATGTTAGCTACATACATTAATATGTCTTACATCATCTGACAGAAATCAAGCCTGGGATTTCTTTGTCTTGCCAATCGTTTAATCGATATTACATGCTTGTATTCATCTAAATATATATATATTATACCCAGCAATTCATATATACATACAAATGCATACACGTACACCGAAACTTGGGTACTGACATATCTTAATTACATCACTAGTATCAATTTATATTAGCGTTTGCATTTAATTTTTGTTATTCTTACGCGATTTTACAATCTAAAAGGCAACCCGATGTTTATTTAGATCGCATGAAATATAATTTAAATGATTTTGATGCGTCATGGAGTAAATAATTTCAACTTTAGATGATGACGAACTGAAATATGTTTGCTTCGTGTTGGTTATTTGCCACTGTAGCCTATAAACAACGATTGTTACAATTTAGAAGAACTTTACCGGCTTTGGTAAGTCGTGAACGTTTTATGTTTTAATCCATTACGAAGGTATAAATACTGTATTTCGATTTAGATGGAAAAATTTGAGTCATGAATTCCTAATCACAATGATTACCGGTTGTTGCCGAATGGAACTCGAAACATCGTGAACTCGTCGATAGACTTTGTCTGAAAAACACAAAATTTAGTGTTCCTACTTGATGCTGTCTAACCTTAGTCGGTCGTTAAATCGGAATTTTTCCCGTCGATGTACTGAGCGCGGTATTCAGTAGAAGACTACCTTGTCATTCGCGATCGATACACAATTAAGAAATAGAAAACATTTTCCGTGTTTCTATACAGTTATAGAAACACGCGTGGGAGTTTGGGAGAACGAGAAATAATCAGTGGGAAAACGAGCCCGTAGGGCGAGTTTTTCTACGTTATTTC